GAAAAATTTGTGGAAAGAGGGTCATGTGAAATTTAATGGAAACGTCAGCACTACTCATATCGTTGTAGGAAAATTCTACCACCAATCATTCATCAACTTAGACGAAATAGGGTGAATACACCTCATATTTTAAACATTCCTCTCATGAGCAGCTTCACCCACCAATTTGTGGCAGCAATCAGCAGCTTATGTTTCTCCTCGGCGGCATAAACCAACTTTTGCCATCGGTTGGCAACTTGCTCAGCTACATTCTGAAAATCTTGTCTGTGTGGATGTGAGGGTGGCAACTGTCCGTCAACAGGTTGTGTTAGTGCTTGTGAAGTGGCTGGTAAATGGTGTCCAACATGACTAGCCTGCTGCAGCAGATAGGAGGCCCTAGCAGCACATTCTACGGCCTGTGGATGGGCATCGTTAAGCACAGGCTGAAATTTTTCATGATCGATTTGCAAAGCCTCAGCTTCTGCCAAACTTGCTGGAATCACAGCTGTTTGGCGTAGGATGTCCTCACATTGACTGATCCATTGCAGGACCTGCAAAGAAATAGCATAAACGATATGGAATGGGAGGACGAAAGTATTAAAAAAATAAGAGACAAAAAAGAAACACAAATACTATTGTAGCTATGAAGACCAAGATGGTGGCCTTCTGTTTAATTGTAGCCTCTTTTAGCTTTCTAGTGTTAGTTCGACCTTGTTTTCGCAACTTTGTCGAAGCGTCAAGGAGACCTTGTCGAACGTACATAGTCCTGTGTCCTGTGCCATAGTATTCGTGATCTCCACAATTCGACAATTGGCTGGGTAGATTCCCAAAAGTTCTGCCAACACCGTCAAGGAGGCCATCGTAAGCACACAATTTGGTCATATTGTCAGGAAAACGTTGAGAAACGCAACTTATCTAGAGTCCATAGTATGCATGATAATCTCAAGTCGTACATTACCAGACCCTAAACCGTAGTTGCTCACACGAGCTGAATACTCTAACTAAAAACGTCATTTCAGAAAGTTCCTCACACTCTTCTTCCTTGTGATCCCTTTTCCTCTGGTTTATGATATATTCTTGATCCAAGTTTTTTATTTTTGCTTGTCTTGCGACATCCCCGTTTTCTCTGAGTTTGATTGGGCAATAGACAAAGTCATTGGATACTCTGCCTATTTACAATTTCCTGCCAATTAATTTTTTCCCCAAAGATGTCATGTCCTCCTTAATCTTCCGTTTCTGTGCTTTTACGATGAGACCCTTCTTTCTGTTGCTTTCTAATTGATCTCGTTTCCAATCTCTACGATATGTTCCACTATATCTGATATCTTAATATCTATTTTCCTGAGTGACTTTGATGTTCCCATATTCGCCAATGTATTTCTGTTAGCAGGCGCACAGCATGCTGTGCAGTAAACTCCTGAGCAATCCAATTTGTCTGCCATCTCATGCTGCGTGGATAGACTTGTAAAGAGAGTTATTTTTTCCTTCGTGGTCACAGGAACATTTCATTTTCTAATAATATTGGCAGTAGTTTTTGAGCTAGTTAGCAAGAAGGTAGAAATATCCACTTTTGTAAGTCTTCATCTTTATTTCATAATCCCTGTCTTGCCATCGGCTCATCACGGCCAGAATGATTCTTTGTATTAC